CTGTATCATGATTTGACCTTTTTTGCTAAGGTCCCTAAAAATTCTTTTGATTCAATTGTTTAGTTTCTGTATTGGTCTTTCACTAAAATGCATGTTTCTTTGTCATGTAGTAATTTTGGGATATATATATATAGAATGATGATAATTTGGTTTTTCTTTGTTTTTGAAATCTGCTCTATCCTCTGTTTTGAGTTACTTTTGTTCTCATCTTCTTCTGGTCTGTGGTATGATAGTTTGTCTTATGCTTTCTTAGATCTCTGTTATGACATGCCCCCCCCCTCCCGCCTGTGAATAAACCAGAACACAAGCTTGGCTGTTTGCAACTATTTAATTAATGAGATAACAAATTCTTTGGCTGAGGGCCCAGACAACTCACATTCAATATAATAGCTTGGCAGCAACCCAGATAGCTCACATGAAGCAACGCAGATAATCCAAACAAACAGACATGGCTAGAATACAGACAGATTTCTTCAATACTAGTTCAAACAGTTGTTCCCAGCAAATGTCCCCTCCCAACGCCTCACTTATAAACCCTCTTGGGAGGGGCCAATCCACCACACCTGTGCTTAATTATCTTCTATGAGACTGCCTACTGGGGTTGTGTCTTCTGTTTTTCAGCCCTTCTCAATGGAGCATCAGGGACAAACTGACTTTGATCTTCCCCACTGCTCCATGCCTCAGGTGCTTCCTGGTGGCCAACCAGCCTCTCTGGCCCCTGCTCTGAGTCTTAACCCTGTACAGGATTCTCCACATCTTCCATGGTAGACTCATATGGTTCCTCGCTATCCGAGTTTATCAGCAGCTCAACCGGATCCTGCTGGGCCACAACAGATCTCTGTGGGAGGGTCTGTGGTTTTAAATGCTCCTTCTAAGGCTGCAAAGGATTCTATTGTTTAGCATAATCTGTGTAATAGTTAAGGCTTTTCTGTAGAATATTGTGTTCGGCAGTAGTGATTGACTGGACATGTTGACCATGACTATGTGCTTTGTTGTGATGTTCTGTTCTGGTTACTTCTTGAGGTTTTCCATGCTATACTGATAATTAGTCTTAGGTATGCAACCATAGAAAGACTGAGAACCACCAACAAGGCTACTTCCCAGAGACAGGCCTGAAAAATGAAAACTAAACTACCTAAATTAAATCCCAGAGCCTGAATGGGTGGTCAACATGTTCAGAATTACATGACTACGTTAGAATTTCATGTATGCTCTTTGTATGGACTGTCAGTCCATACCACCTCACTTAATATAATTATACTTACAAAAACTAAGAGCCTTTCCTCACTGCTAAATTAAAGTACTATCCATGGATTCATGGGTCAACAGAAAACAATGCTGAGTTTATAGATTCCATCTCTGTTGTCTCTATTCTAAGTCACTGCCAAATGGAGCTGCCTTGCTTATTCATGTGCAGAATTGGATAAATAAATTGGTTGATTCTTCCAACTTTGCTGCCATCTCTTCTGCATCATCCCAGAGGGAAAGATATCTGACAATCAATGGCACTGTAGCAGAAATGGACTGGCTGCAGAATTTGGCTTTTTCCATGTTGCTTCCTACTGTACCCCATTCTTTTTATTTTTAACAGATCAGTTTCAAAGGAAGTTGAATCACAAGCAATGCTTTTATTTTAAAACTTCTATGTCAGGGGTGTCAAATTCAAGGCCTGGAGGCTGGATCCAGCCCTTGGAGTGCTTAGATCTGGCCCATGGGGCTGCCCTGGAAACAGCAAAGGACCGTCCTGCAGCACCTTTGTCAGTAAAAATGGAGCTTGGGAGGGAGCCTTCCCAAGCTCCATTTTCACCGGCAGAGGGTTGCAGGAGGCAGTGTCAGCTGGAGAAAGAGCCCGGAAGCTAGTTTTCACTGGCAGAGTGCTCAGGTCACCACAGATGCCCCCAACATAAATGATGTCGAGCCATTCCCCCCCCCCAAGGTCAAACAGAATCCGGATGCGGCCCACAATGGAACTAACGCCTCTATTTATTTATACGGGTCAGAAAGGCAAGCTGCCAGATTCAATGTTCCATACAGGAGATAATTTGAAATAGAGGGAGAAGAGTTGGTCTCACCATTCTATTATGGCAGTTATGGTAGCAATTGGTAGCATCCAGAGTTAAAACATTTATAATGCTGCCAACCAAGCAGTCTTCTGCAACACTTCTCAAATTTTCTAGTTGTGGACCATTACATTTATCATTCGATTTAGAAAATGCAGAAAACACCCTATTTAGCAACCAACCCAAACCAACCCACTCCTTTTGTTTTCATATTAAATAGCATACTCACAACTCACCAAGGCCTCTTAAAATAAAATATCAAACCCCCAAATTAATCAGAAGCATCTATTTAATCACCTGAATCACTTTATATACTTCTATTCTTAACTTACTGGTCATTAATGTTCTTCAGTAGAGATCTCTCGATTACTAAGGAAGATGTGGATGGAAGATCTCCAGCTTAATGAAATCTCATTTGTAGATTCATTTTTATTTTTGCAAGACGTTTCACTTAATGCAATACATGCAGATTCAGTGTCAAAAGCTGCCCTTGAAACTTATTCACTATAATCACTTTTGACTACACTTGCATGATCAAACAGATAGTTTCCAGCCATTGACATTTTCTCTTGAACTACTTGTCAGGGGTTATGGAGAGGTAGTGTCTAAGATAATGACAAGGCTTTCACAATCTCTTGGCCACCATGGGGATGCAGGGGCGAGATAAAGAATGTGCTCTGGCCCCTGAAAATGGGATGGCTATGGCAGACCCCGGCAGATCACTAGCAGTCCATAGTCACAAACTTTGAGAATGGCTACTACTGAGGGTGTAAAAGAGCAACACCCAACTATCATGCTGTACTAAATATTATAGGAGCATGTTGTTGGGAGGAAATAATTTACATGCACTTAAGGCACAATCATTAGAACACAAAAAGGCTGTTACTTTGTACTTTAAAAGGTTGCTGAATTGCTTTTCTGCAAATTCAAAGTATCATTATTACAACACTGCTGAGATCAGCTCTTCAAAATGTCAGCAACATAATAGCAAATTAGGCTGACTGGGGACCAGAGAAGTCTGACAACCTGGGCTTCAAATGGTCAGTATGCATCTCTGAGATTCATCAGAGATAGGGTCCGCAACTTGGGAGTCCTCCTGGACCCACAGCTGACCTTTGAACATCATTTGTCAGCTGTGACCAGGGGGGCATTTGCCCAGGTTCGCCTGGTGCACCAGTTGCGTCCCTACCTGAACCAGGAGGCTCTCACAACAGTCACTCATGCCCTTGTGACCTCTAGGCTGGAATACTGCAATGTGCTCTACATGGGGCTGCCCTTGAGGAGTGTTCGGCGACTTCAGCTAGTCCAGAATGCGGCCGCGCGAGTGATCGTGGGTGCACCTCGCTTCATCCACGTAACACCTATCCTCCGCGAGCTGCGCTGGCTACCTGTCGATCTCCGGATACGATTCAAGGTGCTA